GTAACTACATTGCTCCAAAATGAACTTATATCATTCTGTAAATTATTAAAAGGGTAAATGAAGTCTTTTATTAGTCATATTTCTAGTATTGAACAAAAAAAAAATTAATAAAAAGCATGTAGAGAAAACTGTACTTATTTTATTTATGGTAAAATAAATTATTATACAAATTATTTACTTTTTGTAATTGTCAAATGTGAATCACAATAGTTATTGAGTTAATTTACACAACACACTATAAAATATGATATTAACATAACATTTTTAATTCTTACACATAAAAAATTATACTTCACATCATCAACAAAAAAGATATATGATTATCTTTAAGAATACAACTTTTTTTTTTTAAATTTCTTTTTCAAGTCAGTTATTTATTAATTAACCATTCAGTGTTCTTGCTAGTATATAACAAACAAATTAATAAAGATCATATAAGGAGAATTTTACATATTTTCATTTTTTTTAAATTAAGATATAAATTAAATCTTTCATTTTTTATTAATTAATATAAAACATTAATTAGGTTAGTTAATATTGTTATTAATTTACATAACATCCCGTGCGTACCATATTTTGCATTGCATTTTTAATCTTTCTTTAAAAAAGCCAAATACTCTCCATCTTTGTCCTTAAAAGATAAAAAAATATTTTTTTTTAAGGTGTCATATTTTTTTTAAAAAAATAATAAAAAAATAATAAAAAAAAAATATTTTTTCTTATGTAATTGTAAGTAAAGAAAAAAAATATTATAGAAATATGTTTATTTTTTTTTTTTTTAGCGTATTTTTAGTGCAAATATATATATATATATATTTTTTTAATATACACATTTATAAGTTCACATTTTCCACATATTTTATAATGCTCTAAATAAAATGTTTTTACTCATTTTATTTTATTAAATATTATTTAAAACAGTTTGATAATATAATTTATAGATTGCATGCTCTTTATTAATTTGTTTGTTCAGTACTCTAGTAAAGTTACCGAACACCCAGTTAATAAATCAAATATCGACTATTAATTTAATGTGAATTAATTATTTCTTTGTTATGAGTTATGTTCAGGAATTTAAATATATTGCTATTGAATTAACCAACATAAACAATTAGCAAAAATTCAAATAAATTATGTGAATATTAATTACGCAAATATTTTATTGTTATATGTATAAAATTTTCTTTCACAAATTCAAAATATAAATATTATGCAAATTAAGCTCTTTTATGAAAACATTATTATCTTTTTAAAATCTCATTCTTATTGGTACTAATTCTTACTCTCGATTTTTAATTTGCCAATCTTCTCTTTTCCTCTTTGAATGTATCATTTAAAAAAAAAATAAATATCTTTTTTTTTTTAGTTAGCACAACCAACTACGTGTTCTTCACATAGATAGTCCTTTTTATAACCAAAAAGGTTAATGAAGCCTTTTATTAACCAGTTATACATTGCTCTATAAACAATACTATTGACCTTCTTTCTATAATATTTACACAAATAAATAGAATAAAAACATTTTATTTTGTGCATGCTAATTCTCGAGGACAATCTACTATTATAAACGTCTGCTCTAAAATAGATATTCAAAAAGTATGTAAACAAAAAATATATGTATATATTTACTTGCACTTAATGTGAGTGCATTTAAAAAAAAATAAATAAATAATAAATTTTTTTTGTGTGGATATTTACAATTAAAAAAAAATATATATTATGATGATATTTTTTTTACTATAAAAAAAAAAAATGTAATCTTAAGAAAAAAAATTAGTTTTTTTTTTTTTTTTTTTTGAAGGATAATGTGCAGACTACTATAGAATGTATATTTTTATTTTAAGCTAAAATGTAATATTAACGAAATTACATTTTGAAGTGTTACTTATATTAAAAAAAAAATAATTAACTAATAAGTCATATTTAATGTTTATTAATAAAAAAAAAAATAAAAATTTTATATTAAAATTAATTAGAGATTACACTACATTTTCCTTATTAATTTATTTGTTTGGCACGAGAAAAGTAATTTAATAACCATTAATAAATCAGAGATATAAATAATTTCTTTTCCTTAGGAATATTATCTTATTTATAATAATTATAATAATTTTAATACGTCATGAACTATCATTTGGATAATTTATGTTTCTATATCTGCAACACACACACTATTGAAATTATTTTAATATCATGTAATATCTATGTTAAATGTAAGACACGTTTATATTTTACACATTTTTACTTGTATGAACAACTTTTACATATAATATTAAAAAAATATAAATCATAAAAAATGCACTTTTATTAAATTTATGGTTATTTCTTAAAGAAAAATTAGTGTTAAAATATTAAAAATTATAGTATTTATGCACACCACTTTTTATTAATAATAAGTCAAAGATTCTAACAAATTAAATTTAAAAAATAATAATTCTTATTAAAATTCTCCATTAATATTTACAAAGATGTCTTATAAAATTTAAACTTTTAAGAAAAAAGTTATATTAGAAAGGGACAATTGTTGAATTCATTTATACTATATAAATGATTTACCTAAATTTCGTAAGTAAAATGAAAAATAAAAAATTGTGCTATAAATATATATAACTAAAAATAAAAAAGAAAATAAACACATTGTAATAATAATGAACACTTATCAAATAAATATGTAAAGTAAAAAAAAAAAAAAAAATTATTTTTTTTATATTTAATTAGAAGATTATAATAATATATATGCAAAAAGTTATTTTATAATTTTGTTTTATCTTTATTTATTGATATTTTTTATATCACGATAAAAATGCTTTCTTTTGAATTTTATAAGAAAAAATCTATTATATTTAACTAAAGATATATTTTCATATTCAGTAAATAATATTTATATTAAAGTTGAAACTAATAAGTATTACTAGTAAAAAAGTAAATTTACAGAAATATATTTTTAGAATAAAGCAATTTTGTCAAAAAAAATAATTTTTTTTAAAAAATATTTTTTACCTTTAATATGTGATTAAAAAAATAGTATTTTTTTTTTTTTTTTTTAAATAGTAATTAATTTATTTCACTTTTAAATATGTTATTTATAAGATTTGTTATTTTAATTTCTTAAAAATAAATACCTATCTTTACTTTTTCTTTTGAATTTAAGTACTTAATAAATTTTTTTTATTTTTTTTTCAAATAATTGAAAAAGTAATTTTTTTTAAAAAATAGTTATAACAAAAAATAAATATATACATATATTGTATAAACATTTATCAATAATAAAAACAAAAAAAAAAGAATTAAAATAAAAAAAAGTATATAAGAAAAATCAAAAAAGTTTTATTTAAAAGAAAAATATACACAAACAAAAATTAGTTTCATATTAAGTGAAAAATTGTCACAAATGTAGTATACTGTGTGAAAGATACATGCGTATAAAAATTTTTAATTTATAGGGTTTTTTTTTCTTTTTTCGATAGATATATATCTATAATATATGAAGATTTATATTTATAAATCATAATATACCGTATATAAAATAATTTAAAGTTCGACATAATTCACAGAGATTGGTAATTTAGAAAAAAAAATTAAAAAAATCCTCTAATATTAAATGTATATCATTTATAATTTTTATGTGCATTAAATTAAAAATATTTTATTTTTTTACATAATTTAAAGATAAATAAAATTTTAATAAAATATTTTAAAAATAACTTTACCCGATTTATTTTAGATATGTAACTGTAAATTAAAATAAAAATAATACTATTATAACTACTATTTTATATAAAAATATAAATATGTAAATATATAAAATAAAAGAAAATAACAATAACATATAGAAAATGAGAAATAACATGCATAGAAAATTCTAGAAATGAAGTTAATGTAATTTAAAATNACACTTATCAAATAAATATGTAAAGTAAAAAAAAAAAAAAAAATTATTTTTTTTATATTTAATTAGAAGATTATAATAATATATATGCAAAAAGTTATTTTATAATTTTGTTTTATCTTTATTTATTGATATTTTTTATATCACGATAAAAATGCTTTCTTTTGAATTTTATAAGAAAAAATCTATTATATTTAACTAAAGATATATTTTCATATTCAGTAAATAATATTTATATTAAAGTTGAAACTAATAAGTATTACTAGTAAAAAAGTAAATTTACAGAAATATATTTTTAGAATAAAGCAATTTTGTCAAAAAAAATAATTTTTTTTAAAAAATATTTTTTACCTTTAATATGTGATTAAAAAAATAGTATTTTTTTTTTTTTTTTTTAAATAGTAATTAATTTATTTCACTTTTAAATATGTTATTTATAAGATTTGTTATTTTAATTTCTTAAAAATAAATACCTATCTTTACTTTTTCTTTTGAATTTAAGTACTTAATAAATTTTTTTTATTTTTTTTTCAAATAATTGAAAAAGTAATTTTTTTTAAAAAATAGTTATAACAAAAAATAAATATATACATATATTGTATAAACATTTATCAATAATAAAAACAAAAAAAAAAGAATTAAAATAAAAAAAAGTATATAAGAAAAATCAAAAAAGTTTTATTTAAAAGAAAAATATACACAAACAAAAATTAGTTTCATATTAAGTGAAAAATTGTCACAAATGTAGTATACTGTGTGAAAGATACATGCGTATAAAAATTTTTAATTTATAGGGTTTTTTTTTCTTTTTTCGATAGATATATATCTATAATATATGAAGATTTATATTTATAAATCATAATATACCGTATATAAAATAATTTAAAGTTCGACATAATTCACAGAGATTGGTAATTTAGAAAAAAAAATTAAAAAAATCCTCTAATATTAAATGTATATCATTTATAATTTTTATGTGCATTAAATTAAAAATATTTTATTTTTTTACATAATTTAAAGATAAATAAAATTTTAATAAAATATTTTAAAAATAACTTTACCCGATTTATTTTTTTTTTTTTTTTTTTTTTTTTTAACATTCTTATTTTATTTTTAAAGAATTACGAATATTATTCCTATCTAGTGTTACTATAATATCATGTGTAATAATAAAAAATTACAAATTATATTTCATAAATGAAAATAATTTTCTATTTTAAAAAATTAAGAAATTAATATAAGTTATAATGATATCTAAATTAATATTACAAATCCATAATTTAGTATTATTGAAAGTTGAAACAATTTTACATCTGAATTAACAACTTCCAATTCAATATTATACTATAAATATATTATTATAAAAACGTTAATTTTATTTTTAAAAATTACTACATTCCTTCTTTTAATTTTGTATATCTATGTTTCATAACGTAAGTCAAAATTTTTACAAAAAATATACTTATACATATATTTTATTTCTAAATATTCTTGACATACTATTTGATTTTCTATTCTAACAAAAGAAACATTCTTTTAAAAAATTTTTATTTAATCCGCAGTGTGATTCCTATAAAACCTTGATTTATAAAAATATATTGCAAACAAAAAATGAGTTAAAATCTGAAAGAGTTTTAACAGAGGGTGATATAGCAGGTAAAAAGCAAACTAACGCTGAACGATGTCTAGAAGAACGTCCATTAGATAAAAAAAAAAAAAAAATAAAATGGAAAAATCCGTTTAAATACGAGAATCCGTACCATATATGGCAAAGAGATACTACTACATATTTGCGGGAGCGATTTAGTAGTGAGACTAGTGAAATGCACCCTAAATGGAAAGACGAAAAATGGAATAATGAATGGAATAGAATTTCAGCTAACAAAGTTAAAGAACTATCTTCAATATTTCATCGAAGAGATATTTCAAAAGAGGAAAAAGAAAAATTAATTTATTCTGCTGAGAAAGAACTCTACACACTATTCGTGAAATTTTTAGACGAATGTAAGAATGATGTGAGAAGCAATGAAACAGAATCCAAATCTAAGAATGAGATGACAGAAAATAAAACAGAATCTGAATCTATGAAGGAGATGATAGACAATAAAACAGAATCCGAATCTATGAATGAGATGATAGACAATAAAACAGAATCCGAATCTATATACTGCAAATTAAAAAATAAAATAATGCATGCATAAATTTTTAATTTAAATTTCTTTTCTATAAATAAAATTTATTTCATTATATATCACTATATTGTNTTTTACTAATTGTTTATGTTTTTTAATTCAATAGCAATATATTTAAATTGCTGAACATAATTCATAACAAAGAAATAAGTAATTTACAATTAATTAATAGTCAATATTCAATAAGGATTTAAATTTTTAATAAAAATAAGGACTTTTATTAAAGTAAATAAATGCCTATTGAAATCAAAGTATTCTGAATGAGAAGATTGCATAATTAAGGATTAATCGTTCAAAGTATATAAAAATATATATAAATAAATAAAAATCGTAGAGGTAACTCCTCAAGCTCTTTATTAATTTATTGGTTCATTACTCTAGCAAAGTCAGCCGACATCTAGTTAATAAGTCAATACTTGAACAAAGTCACCCAACATTCAGTTAATAAATCACTTTATTAATATGTTTTCTCAATACTATAACAAAGTTATGGAATAAGAAATAAATAAATTAATTTTTCAACTGAAAAATTAATCATTTCAAAAAAAAAGTAAATATATTTTTTTTTTTTTTTGCATCTAGAATTTGCATGTATAACTATATATTTTCCACACAACTATTACCGTTTATTCTCAAAAAGGTTAATAATACATTTTATTAACCAACATGAAATTGCTAAGTAAAAAAAAAAAAGAAAAAAATTAGTTAATGGTTTTTTTTTATTTTTGTAATTTAAATACATAAAAAAATAAATTTTTTCTTTTTTTAAAAAGAATTTAGTTGTCAAAAAATAGATGAAAAAGTTATTGAATGAGAAAGCTTATTGCGGTGTATTTTTATTTAAATTAATATAAGAAAATTTTATATTAACTATAATATAATTTTTGTGTTTTGTAGTACTTACGTAATTTAATTTGAATTTTATCAATTATTTATGCTTGTTAATTTGAGAGCAATAAATATGAACTGTTAAATATAAATCATAATATAAGTAAAATAAATGTAATTAATGTTTTATTAATTTCGTATTCATTACTTTGCTAGAGTATTGAAAAAAAGGATTAACAACGAGCATGTAGAGTTTCTTCTACCATTTAAATGAATTTAAATATGTTTTTAATACTATAAACCATTGAAATGTATATGGTCACCTTTATTGAGCATTTATTGTTTTTAAGAGGTATTTAATTATTTTAATAAAAATACCTATTTTTATTAAAAACTTAAATCTTTATTAATTATAGTTTTAAATCACATATATTTTACTTATAATGTTATGATTAATATTTAACAATTCAAATTCACTTCTTGCGAATTAAAAAATATAAATAACAAAACACAAAATAAGTTATAAAATGCTACAAACGCGAACATTTTATTATTGTTAATATAAAATTTTCACTTTAAAATTCAAAGATAAAAATTTGTTACGAAAAAACTTTTTATCAAGTTTTCTTCCATTTTTAATAACTTGAATATTTTTTTCACACTATTCAATTCTTTTTTTCATGTCTATTTATTTTCCATACAGCTATTAATTTTTTTCTCAAAAACGCTAATAATTCCTTTTATTAACAAATCTTTAACTCTAATAATTCTCAATAAAGACTTTTTTTTTTTTTCCTTTTTGTGTCCTTTTTTTGTCATGTAGGTAAGCTGGTAATAGTTCTGCATCCAACTTTTTTTCTTTTATTTTATCCTCTACGTTTACTACCTGATTTATTTACTTTCCATAAATTACATTTTTAATTTATTAAATTATCATTCAATGAATTTGCTAGAGTAATGAAAAATAAATTATTAAAAAGAATATGGAGTTTCCTCTAGTAATTAAAGGGATTTTAAATCTAATATTAATGTATAAACAAATAAACTGCAATTCATAAGAAATTTTGGTGGGGTTTCTTGGTATAATGGTTCTGGACAACCGTTTAAGTCTACTCTATTCACTAAATTATTATTCGAATTTTGAAAATTACTTTTTATATTCAAATCGATCTTACATTTTTCATTATCAACTAAATTACTTTCATTTATTTTATCATTTTTTTCTTTTCTATTTTTCATAAGAAATTTTGGTGGGGTTTCTTGATATAATGGTTCTGGACAACCGTTTAAGTTTACTCTATTCATTAAATTATTATTCGAATTTTGAAAATTACTTTTTATATTCAAATCGATCTTACATTTTTCATTATCAACTATATTATTTTTATTTATATTATCATTTTTTTCTTTTCTATTTTTCATAAGAAATTTTGGTGGGGTTTCTTGATATAATGGTTCTGGACAACCGTTTAAGTTTACTCTATTCATTAAATTATTATTTGAATTTTGAAAATTACTTTTTATATTTAAATCGATCTTACATTTTTCATTATCAACTGTGAACTTAAATTACTGAAAATTACATATAAAAAGCAATAATTATTTTGTACTTAAAAATTAATAATTAATGAAAATATATGTTTTTAATAAAAATACATAATTTTTATCAAAGTAAATTCACAATGAACTGCATTATTGCATTTTATTTGTTTATAACATTAATATTAGATTTAAAATCCCTTTAATTACTAGAGGAAACTCCATATTCTGTTTTATAATTTGTTTTTCATTACTCTAGCAAATTCATTCAATAATTTAATAAATTAAAAATGTAATTTATGGAAAGTAAATAAATCAGGTAGTAAACGTAGAGGATAAAATAAAAGAAAAAAAGTTGGATGCAGAACTATTACCAGCTTACCTACATGACAAAAAAAGGACACAAAAAGGAAAAAACAAAAAAGTCTTTATTGAGAATTATTAGAGTTAAAGATTTGTTAATAAAAGGAATTATTAGAGTTTTTGAGAAAAAAATTAATAGCTGTATGGAAAATAAATAGACATGAGAGTACTAGATAAATGAAAAGAAATAGAATTGAATAATGTGAAAAAAATATTCAAGTTTTTTAAAAATAGAAGAAAACTTGATAAGAAGTTTTTTCGTGGAAAATTTTTATCATTGAATTTTAAAGTGAAAATTTTATATTAACAATAATAAAATTTTCGTGTTTGTAATATTGTATAACTTATTTTGTGTTTTGTTATTTATATTTGTTTATTCACGAGAAGTGAATTTGAATTGTTAAATATCAATCATAACATTATAAGTAAAATATATGTGATTTAAAACTATAATTAATAAGGATTTAAATTTTTAATAAAAATAGAGATTTTTATTAAAATAATTAAATGCTTCTTAAAAACAATAAATGCTCAATGAAGGAGACCATATACATTTCAATGGTTTGTAGTATTAAAAACATATTTAAATTCATTTAAATGGTAGAAGAAACTCTACATTCTGGTTATTAATCCTTTTATTCAATACTCTAGCAAAGTAATGAATAGGAAATTAATAAAATATTAATTACATTTATTTTACTTATATTATGATTTATATTTAACAATTCAAATTTATTTCTCTCAAGTTAACAAGCATAAATAATTGAAAAAATTCAAATTAAATTACATAAGTACTACAAAACACAAAAATTATATTACAGTTAATATAAAATTTTCTTATATAAATTTAAACAAAATACACAACAGTAAGCTTTCTTAGTCAATAACCTTTTCTTCTATTTTTCGACAGCTAAATTTCTTTTAAAAAAAGAAAAAATTTATTTTTTTGTGTATTTAAATTACAAAAATAAAAAAAAACATTAACTAATTTTTTTCCTTTTTTTTTTTATTTAGCATTTTCATGTCGGTTAATAAAATGTATTATTTACCTTTTTGAAAATAAACAATAATAGTTATATGGAAAATATAGAGTTATACATTCAAATTCTAGATTCAAAAAAGAAAAAAAAAAAAAAAAAAATTAATTGTTAATTTCACTGTTTTCTTTTTCTAATTTTTATATACAAAAAAAAAATATATATTTACTTTTTTTTTGAAAGGATTAATTTTTCAGTTGAAATATTAATTTATTTATTTCTTATTCAATAACTTTGCTATAGTATTGAGCAAACATATTAATAAAGTGATTTATTAACTGGGTGTTCGTTAACTTTGCTAGAGTACTGTTTTATTAACTGGATGTTCGGTGACTTCACTATAATACTGATGAAATAAATTAATAAAGAACATGTAGAGTTACCTCTACGGTTTTAACGTATTTATATATATTTTTAAATGCTTTAAACTAGTGATCCTTAATTATGTAATCTATATCAGTTAGCGTTCTTTGATTTCAATAGGCATTTATTTACTTTTATAAAAATCCTTATTTTTATTAAGAATATAAATCCTTATTTAATATTGATTATTAATTAAATGTAAATTATTTCTTTCTTTGTTATGAGTTATGTTAATCAATTTAAATATATTGCTGTTAATTAACAAAACATAAACAATTAGTAAAAATGCAAATTAATTATATGAATATTAATTACGTGAAAATTTTAATTTGTATCCATAAAATTTTCTCTCACAAATTAAAAATATAAATATTATGCAAATTAAACTCTTTTATAAACACATTATTATCTTTTGTAAAATAAATCTCTCCCTCAATAAATCCCTTCTCTTTCCAAAAAAAAAAAATTAAATATATTTTTTTTTTCTTTTACTTAGCACAACTATCTACGTATTCTCCACATAGCTAGTCCTTTTTATAGTCAAAAAGGTTAATGAAGTCTTTTATTAACCAAATGCTGAATGAAGTAGATTACATGATTATGGATCACTCGTTCAAGTATTTAAAAATATATATAAATACGTCAAATAGTAGAGGAAACTCTACATACTCTTTATTAATTTGTTTTTTCAGTACTCTAGAAAAGTCACCAAACACCCAATTAATAAATCAGCATGTTAGAATACTGGGAAAAGGTGAACACATAAATGCGTACACTTAAAAAATTTATCTCTCTAAAAGTAAATATAAGAAAAAAAAATATGGATATATTTTATTATATTTTTTTTTGTTGTAACACTAAGTTGGAAAAAAAAAATAATTTATTTTCTTTTCACAATTATTTTTTTTTTTATTAATTTTTTTTAAAAATAATTTACTATCTTAAAAAAAAAATTTTTATTTTTTTTAAATGGAGATGATCTATAATATTTTTTTTTGGAAGATTAAAAATGCAATGTTAAAACGTGATATGCATGGCATATTGTGTAAATTAATAACAATAATAATTAAATAACTCGATTATTATTTTATATTAATTATTGAAAGTGAATAATTTGTATTATGCTTTAATTAAAAAAAAAGAAAATGAGTAAAATTTTCTCTATGTGTTCTTTATTATTTTGTTTTTTTAATGTTACTAAAGTCATTGAACGAGTAATTAATATATCAAGTAATAAATAGAAAAATTAATAAAGAAAATGTAGAACTTTCTCTACTAATTTAATGAATTTAAATATAATTTCGATGTTATAAACCTGTAAAATGTAAATTATGTAGATCACTAAGAATTTATTTCCTTTAATAAAAATCTTATGTTTTTATTAAGAACAGAAATTTTCATTAAACATTAATTTCTAAGTGCTAAATATTCATTTATAACTTTTAATAAATAATTTTCATTTACTCAAGTTCTCTTTTTCTTAAAAGAGAAAAAATATATAAATTATATTAATATCACTAACAGAGAAATTTTTACTCTCAAAAATATAATATATTCTCATTAAAATATTTCATCCTAAAAATTTTTTCTCCTTGAATAACTTTATTTTTTTCCCTAAAGAAGATGAAATATATTTCTATAAAAAAATCTAAAGCAAAATATTAATTTTTTTTAACTAGCACTTATGCATGGCTTATTAAGTATTTTCTTTTAATATATTAATTTTTATATTAATAAAGGTTAACAAAGTCTATTTTTATCAAATTTTTTAGTTTTTAGTTTTTTATTTATTGTTTTCATTTTATTTTTTTCTTGTTCTTTATATTGACATAAAAATTTTTCATAATATAAATGAAGATTTATCGAAATTCTATCAATTAATTTTTTTCTCTTTTTTTTTGTAATACTCTACTAATGAGTGTCTACAATTCTGATAAACTCTTTTCTTTTGAAATATTATTTCGATATGCATTCAATATTTTATTTCTACATATATATCTCACTTCATTTTCTTCATTTAATAAAACATTATCTACAATGTTTGTTTTAATATTAGCGTTATAACATTTAAAATACATATCCATTAAATGAATGAATTCACGAATTATCATGTCCACTTCACCAGATGGGTAATAATCTACACTTTTTTTAATATAAGATGATTTTTTTTTCGATTTATCACCCTCTGCTAACATTCTTTCGTGTTTTAATCCAATTTTTGTTTCTGATGTATCTCTATTAATCAAAGACTTATTGGAATCATACTATAGAATTAAATAAAAATTGTTTAAAATTTTTTTTCAATTGTTATAGTAATATATTAAGTAAAATTTTTAAAATGATTAGAAATAAAATATATTCATATGTGTTTTTTTTATATGAAGTTTATCTTACGTTGTAAAGACAATGGAATATCCAAATTAAAAGAAGAAATGTAAAAATTTTAAAATATAAAGTAAATGTTTTCATTTTAATACAATTATAGTGTAATATTAAAGTTAGAGATGTTAATCCAGTTGCAAAATTGCTTCTATCTTTACTAATAATAAGTTAGAGATAAGTAATATTGCTTTAGGTATTATTACGACCTTTGTAAATTTTATAAGTTTTTAAGGTAAAAAATTATTTGTTTATATGAAATGTAATTTTTAATTTTTCATAATTATACATAATATTACATTTACTTTATGCAAATTTAATGCTATTAATTTTTTAAAAAATGAAATAATTAAGAACGTATATTTATAAGTTAAAAAAAAAAATTTTAAAATATGTAAGGTTATTTTAAAAATATTATTAATTATTAATTAATTGTAAATTACTAGTTTATTTATTATGAGTTACATTCAGCAATTAATATATATTGCTGTTGAATTAACAAACATAAACANTTTTTCATAATTATACATAATATTACATTTACTTTATGCAAATTTAATGCTATTAATTTTTTAAAAAATGAAATAATTAAGAACGTATATTTATAAGTTAAAAAAAAAAATTTTAAAATATGTAAGGTTATTTTAAAAATATTTCATTAAAATTATATTCGTCCTTAAAGTAGATAAAAAAATTATATAATGCTAATTTGAAATAAATTAAATTATAAATGTTATATATTTAATGTTAATAAATTTTTTTTTATTTTTTTTTTCGTTTAACTATTAGTTTTTTTTCTGTGAAACATGTAAAACTTTAAATTATTTTATATATGGTATTTCTTATTTATAGATATAATTTTAGATATATTAGAGATATTATATCTCCATCAAAAAAAAAAATAAAAAAAAAAACACTATAAATTAAAAATTTTTCTATGCATGTATTTTTCATACATTATACTATATTTGTAGTCATTCTTAATTATATAAGAAACTAATTTTTAATTGTGCATGTTTTTGCTTTAAATGTAACTATTTTGATTTTTCTATTATATTTTTTTTATCTTTATGTTTTCTTTTT